TTTTTGGGGACCCTCTTGCGAAGGGGCTAGAAGGGCGGGCGGGCGGGGCGGTGGAGGGTGCGGAGGGGGAAACGGATATGGGGGAAACTGGTCCTGAGACCAACGGGTCCTGGACCCTGGTGCTTTCCCCCAGGACGAATTTCTCATCCCGAGTCGTTTTCTGACAGTTCTGGGGCCCATGGAGGGCCCCGAGGGCCCGAAGACAACGAGAAACCTCAGGACCCGTCTCCCCCATGGCGACCCAGGAGGCACCGAGGTCTCCGGCGCCAGCGCTCAAAACATGCACGGAGGCTCGGACGCTGTCCCCGTCTGCCCAGGAGGGCCCGCGGCGGTTGCGGCCACTGGCGGGCTGTGCCCGCCAGGAAGAGCAGGGACGGGGGGGGAGATTTGGAGGAAGTGGGTGTCGGCCACGTGCAGGGGTGGGGTGGGGGGGGAGCGGGGAAGGTTTCTTGGGCGCCCCCCCCCGCTTCTCAGCAGACGCAGGCCTTGTCTGCAGAGGTAAGGCCCGCGCCTTCTAAGAAGCGGCCTCTTCCTGAGAAGTCTTTCCTCCCTCCCCCTGCCCTCTTGTGCGCGCCGCCAAAGGAAGAACAGGGGGGGAGTTGGAGGAAGTGGACTTCGGTAGCAATTCATGGAAGCCTTTTATACCGCTGTAATTCAATCTTCAGAGTGCACTGGCATCGATGAGCGTCTGGTAGTCGATGAGGTCGCCCTGATCTGGCGTCACTTGGCGTCGATGGAGCGTCGATCTGGCGTCGCTTCAGCGTCGACCAGCGTGGATTCGAAAGAGCCAACAGTATGGAATGGGAGGCTCCTATTCGCGTCTGGTAGACGATGAGGTAGACCTGATGTGGCGTCACTTGGCGCCGATGGAGCGTCGATATTGGCATCGCGTTAGCGCCGACCAGCGTGGATGCTCGAGAGAGCCAACTAGGGAAATCAAAATATACCGATACCGCTACTCCCCTGACCTCTCCTGGGGTGCGTTCTGACCAGGATTTCGAGGCGAATCCAGCGGTGGCGACGACGGAGGCCCAGGGGACCCATAAAAGGGGAAGACGAGGCGACGGTAGAGGTATGGGTACCTTTTCCTCCTCTGACCAATAGTCTGGTATACGAGGCCCCCGCGAGCTGCCATAGGAGTGGGCGAGAGGGAGCGCGGATTCGAAACAGCCAACAGGAGTTGCCACACGGAGGAGGAGGTTGAGGAGGAGGAGGAGGAGGAGGAGGAGGAGGCGGAGCAGGAGGAGGAG